CACAAAACTTAGGACTTCTCTATAGTTCTTTAGTGATAGATTGCTCTTTATTCACACGAATTCGACTGGATCCAAACAGTATTCTGGCTATGATAAATTTGGATATTGAGCTACCGGAGGTGCAACCAATATCAGTTATAACTGTATAGTAGTCAAATATAGACCACGATATTCCGGAATGTGAAAGATTATTTCCACGTTATTTGGGGAGAATGTAACTTCCTACACGAAGCGCGCGGTACATGGTGTCGTTGAATGTGAACTGGACGTTCAGAGTGCATCTCAATAGTAATTCCTTCAAATATGTTGTTAGTATTCCAATATTGAGATAGTTGTCATCTATCTTTTTCACATGAAGCAGACCGTTTCCGTGAGCGGGACATTGGTGAAAAGTGACTCAATGTCGAAGGACAGCATAATTTGGTTAGACATATTCATGTCTTGTATGCAGTCGATGAATTGAAAGGTGTCACGGAGCGGGTGTGTACATAATTGTTTCCTTACAGGTTCTAGAATATCTGCTAGCCATTTTGCAATAGAGTGGTAAGGGGAACCTGACATATACAGAATTGAACGAAGTGGGAGGCCGAACTTGTGTATCTATGGTAGACCGTAAAGTCATGGTATTGTTGAACCTGTTGGCCGGATCTGGTCATAGATATCCTCACTGATTAGCTGACTGGCCTTCAGTCTCTTCAAGAAGTCTGTGAGCTGCTTCTCAATCTGTTCCGTTTTGTTTCTTTCATTGGAAGCTTGGGAAAATTAATCTTCAATCGGCAGTATATCGTTCATTTTCTCGATGAAGTCTTTTCGATTCAGAAACACTACACCGGCACCCTTGTCTAGGCGAGTTATTAGCAGATCACTGTTAAATTCCAATCAGGAAATTCAGGGAAATGCTTCCTGTTTGTCACTTTGCTAAGTTGACTGTTAGGGAGTGTGTTGTCAGCCTTTGGAAAACTGTCTGTCAGTGGAGTCGATGTGTTTCCTCATCCGGACTAGCTACCAAAATATCATCCAAGTAGGCAAAGGCGAAATCTTAACCGTGCAAAACATCATCGATAAAGCGTAGGAATGTTTTAAATAAATAAATAAATTTATTCTCATAGTACAGTACATGATGGACGCCAGTTTACAGGCATCATCAAATTGTTACAGAAATAGAACCATATAATTCAATCACAATTTACAGGTAGTAGCAAGATATGCCTTACAAGTTCGCTGGAGATTATACATACACTTGATAAATGTTAATCTCAGTAGTATAAAACAGCCTTTTTACTCATATACAATCATTTCTGTGCACGGTTGGAAAAATCTGCTAGATTGTCAGTGAGTGAAGCACATCTGGAAATACAGGAGCATTGTCTTCGCATTAACAAAAAACCAGGTCTTTGGTGGATGGATTATAAGTGCCTGGGAAAAAAATAAAGCTTGAAGTAAATATTCATACATAACTTTGTTGTGTGCAGAGTCGAATTATAGTTCACTGATGTGTTATTTTGAGATCAGTGATGTGTTTATCTCATTTGATCTGCAATGTCATTGTTGGGAGTAAGTACATAAGCTTCAGACGTATTAATTAATGGATTTCTACTGCTTGTGGGTATTTTCTTAGCGTCAGGAAGGTTTATGGAATTCAGCTGTTCCGACAGGAGTTGAGAATATTAACTGCTCAGCAACATTATGGAAATAAGTTCATCACATTATCTAGGGAAAGGTGGGTTGCAGTTGGTGACGGATATATGGTGCCCAACGAGCGTACATCTGTCCATGTGATATTGTGGTGAGTTATAACTTTTTCATGTTGTCGGTTTATGTCCATTTTATTCCACTTATTGTGTTGGGTAGTGGTTTTACAAACGAGATTTCTTGTCTGTTTGAGGATACGTATCTTGACCGTTAATGTTTTATCTAGAATTATAAATATAGGCAAAAAACAACAGGTGTAGTATTTAAGCTTATACATTAAATGGACCTATAATTTCGGAGGCTCTCAGATAGGAACTAGAACTACTATCGTTTGCAAACTCTTGTAGTTTGTCATTAAGCACCTTTTTGAAGGAGGCCAATGTACTTGCTTGACGCATTTCCATTGGTAGTTTATTCCATATCTGTGCATACCTAATCAAGTAGAACTTTTGCCTGGTGTCTGTTTTACATTGTTCGATAGCTACTGTACCCTTAGTGTGTCTTAGTTTGTAGCCATTGTCATCTGAAAGTCGAGTGCCATTAGTAGAGGTAAAAACTTAGCGGTTTAGCAGCTTATAGTAAAGTGTCAAGTTTAGTCTCAGGCGTCTTAGCCATAGTGTTTCTAGTCCTAGGGTATCACATCTAGTGGAATAGTTCGCACCATTTTCGGTTCCGAGTAATTTGAACGTGAAGTACCTCTGCACTCCCTCGACTTTTAATTTGTCCTCTATGCACGTGTTTTCGCTGATATTCATTTTTCAGTTCTGCTATATTATCACAAATAATAATGGGCAAAAACTCTAACAAACGTATTCTTAGGAACTCTAGTAATCTAGAAAATAGCTTAAGCTTATCTAGTAACGTATTATCACCCCTAAAATCAGCTATAATTAGTAGTTCACCCAATACAAATACTTCCAACATAATGCTAACCCCTGTAATACAGGTGGAAGATATCCTGTCAGCAAAGGCAGAGATTAGTAACTTAGTCTCTATCATAAACGACATGCAGCTACAAATAAATGACCTTAGGACGAAACTAAATCTACTTGACCCGGTACCAGAAACAATCTTCCATCTTAAAAAAGAACTGGGAGATCTCACTTTCCTAAAACTGTTTAAATTGAAGACTAAGCCAACCGATGCTGAAATGGAACATGTTAAGGAGCTAGAGAACGCAATGGACTATCTATCGAGCGAAGTTGTTAAGAGACTTGCTTCCAAACAGAACGCCATAGTGTACAACATACCTGACAATGAGCCCATAAAGTCGGTTCAGCACTCCTTGTTAAGGGCTGCAAACCTCTTAAGTACACCCTGTCAGTGTATCAGACTAAATAAAAAAGAGTTAAACCGCACATGTCCCATACTTTTCAGGTTTGACAGCTGTATAATAGCAGAACAATTTAGGAAATCTGGGGATACTTTGGCCTCCACCACGAAATTCAAAAATGTTAAGATAGTCTCGGACAAAACCCCCAGCCAACGACAGGTAGCTAAAAATACCTTAGATACGAAGACGATTATACCACAAATCATGAATAGCATCAGTGCCGAAGTATCGAAGGACACTGAAGCACAAAGTGACACTTGCATTGTACTAGGTGAACAAGCGACACGCGAAGGTGAAGGGAAACCCAAAAAGGGCAGTAACACTGGAATGGGTCTCAAAGTTCTTGAGAACACTCCTAGGAAAGCTACCGACCCCGCACATGAGGTAGACATAGATGCTTCTGTGACAGATAACCTACAAATATCGGCAGATAACACTGCACCCAGGGCCAAGCAAGGTAATCTCCTTGTAAAAGCTGAAAAGAAGTCCCCTAAAACCAGGGTCTCTCCACAGGCGTCCACATATCTCCCTTGTGACAAGCCCAACAAGCAGCATGTAAGCCTAAAAAAGAGCTATGCACGCATTACGGCAGGTCCCATAAAGGAGACGGAACACGAGGGTGGAAGTGCTCTTCGTCGAACTAAGGGTGGTAGACAAACTGTGGATGATAGACTATACGAGGTCAAAACTAACAGCAAATATAGCTCTATCCACACAAAATCACACTCTAGCAGACACGCAAGAGGAGCCGAGCTGATTAAACAACAGGGTCAGACCCACGATTTCCGTAATAGCCGAGGTTGTAATATGCCTATGGGCTCATATAACCTGAGAACGGGACCCAGAATAAATAATCAAAACACATGGGCTACTAGACGGGACACCACTAGGTACCATATGGATGGAAATGCATACTCGGACCCTCATAGTAGCTATGTAAATCCCCATCAGCATAACGGGTATAGATTGAATCACGGTCCTTCTATGTACATGCACGAAATGAGTCCACAAATGTACAACTGCGAGAGACTTGGCACGCACTACCCTCAAAACAACCTAGAAACAGGTTATTTCGGCCCTGTAAATAACAATCTGAATAGTGAAACAGATTATCTAATGTCAAGGAATGATTCCAGATACCCACGTAATGAGGCCAGAAACCAATATATGCAACAGGATTATTTTCGGTTGCAGCAAACAATAGCCCCTCTTGCAGCACAATTTGTTCAGGGAATAGTAGACACACTGACAATGTCTCATCTGAGAATCCCTCGGAACATAACATAGGCTACCAGGAGTTAGGGATAGTAACAAGAAAACCCACTAATTACCCTCCCAACAAAACTGGTTTTCTAAAAATTATGCTCTTAAATGCTCGATCTCTCCTTAACAAAATAACTTCCCTTCGCAGCTTGGTATACATGAGACGGCCAACACTGATTCTGGTAACTGAAACTTGGCTAACTAATGATATACCTGACACAAAGCTGATAATCGATAACTATGACATCCACAGGAATGATAGAGTGGACAAAAGAGGAGGCGGGTGTCTAATATATGCTTCTAAATCTACTGACCCCAATACTTTTACAAACCTAACTATCGACAAACTCCCAGAATCTAAGTGGATAAGCATCCACACGAATGAAAATAAAATTCTAGTGGGATGTATATACAGAGCCCCCAGCAGCCCTAAAACGACTGATACGGTTATCGCAGAAATACTAGAGCATACACCTACCCTGGAATTCGACTACAAAATAATTTGTGGCGATTTTAACCTCCCCGGAGTGAACTGGGATACCTGCACTGGACCTAGAATCTATGACGAGCTCCTAGAAGCTATAGATGTAGGAGGATGGAAGCAGTGTGTACGCCTCCCAACACGACATAACAATATTCTCGACTTAGTCCTCTGCCACAAAATAGAGCCGATCTCTATAGAGGTGGGGGATAAACTCGACAACAGTGATCACAACATACTGTACTGCACCCTACCTCTTCAACTAATAACTAAACACACACCTAAAATTTCCCCGGTTCACTATCAATATAGGGACTATAGAAATGCCGACTGGGAATTCCTACCAACGCTCTTGAGAAGCTCTGACTGGGATGAATACTTTACCAATGATAACTTAGAAGTAACACTTGATACCTTCTACAAGACGGTCAGTTCGGTAAGAGATACAATCGCACCCCTAAAGTCTGCCTTAAGGACACCAACTCTTTTCATAGACCGCAAAACGCGATTAAAACTAAGGAAATTGAAGAGGAAATTTTATTTATATAAAGAATTTAGTGCATTACACCAGATACATGAAACATTTAAAAATCTTGAGCAGAGACATAAAATGAAGGCACAACTCGAGGAAAATAAAGCCCTAGGGGGCACCTCTAAAACTCAGGAACTCTGCAAGATCCTGCAAAAACGACTAAACAAGGGTAAAGAAAATAATGTTGGCCACTTGGAGCATGAAGGTATAATTTATGATGATCCCCAGATTATTTGTGAACTCCTAAACCAATGGTTCTCCAATAACACCGAAGCGCATCCGTCTCCAATCCTCGATATAACCTGCAAAAATAACTACGAGTTAGGTGAAATCAACTTTAATATGCAAAATATAGCATCAGCGGTAAAGACACTAAAAGCTAACGGTAGTTGTGGGATAGATGATATACCATCTATCATTTATAAAAACGGTGGCTCGGATATGATAGTACTATTACTTAGAATATTCACCCTCTCACTAGTGACTGGGACCTACCCTGAAACTTGGAAAAACACGTATATACTACCTAAGCATAAAGGAGGGACCAAAACTAGTGCATGTAATTATAGGCCTATCAATATAACACCTGTTATATCAAGGATCATGGAGAAAGTAATCAAAGACCAAATGTCAGACTACTTTCTAAAACACAAACTCATCAACCAGTCACAACACGGGTTCCTTAAGAAAAGATCTTGCGTCACTTGCCATATAGACTTTTTCAACGAAGTCACCTATAGAAGAGATAGGAGAGAACTAGTAATTATCCTCTATTTCGATATCAGGAAAGCCTTCGACAGAGTCCCACATAGTCTGTTAGTCAGCAGGCTATGCTCACTAGGGATACGCAACCCCCTCCACAACTGGATAAAATCATTTCTCAGTGACAGAAATCAGACAACAAAAATTGGCTTGATGACCTCCAGGCCTAGGCCGATTAGCAGTGGTGTCATCCAGGGGAGTGTATTGGGACCCCTTCTTTTCATTATATACATAAACAGTATATGTGAGTGCTTTAGTATAGGCAAGCCAATACTGTATGCAGATGACTTAAAGGTGACATATACCTGCACAAACACAGATATCGGTACAACTATGAACTCCATACATGAAGAACTAACAAAAATGGATATATGGTGTGACACCTGGAGACTTGAGTTTAATGTCGAAAAGTGTGGCTGGCTCTGCATAGGCTGTCCCAACCTAGAACTCGACCTAGCAATTCAGGGCCACAAAATCCCTAGACTCAAATCTGTGCTAGACCTAGGACTGACATATTCACAAAATCTATCATTTTCTGAACATATCTCGAAACAAGTATCGAAATCACGCAGGCTTATTGGTTTCCTACTCAGGAACTTCTACAGAAGTGAATCCAGAATACTACTGTACAAGGTTTGTGTGCGCCCACTCCTAGACTATTGTTCATTCATATTTAGTAGTATACGCATAGAAGACAAACTAAAAGTAGAAGGAGTACAGAGGTACTTCACGCTGAAAGTAATCGGAACCGAAAACGGCACAAACTACTCTACCAGATGTGAAATTCTAGGACTAGAAACATTATGGTTAAGACGACTGCGGTTAAATCTGGTACTCTTCTATAAACTACTTAACCACATAGTGTATACCCCTACTAATTGTACTCGGTTTTCAGAAGACACTGGATATAACCTTAGACACACTCAAGGTACGGTGGCTATAGAACAATGTAAAACAGCCACCAGGCAAAAATTTTTCATGATTAGGTATGCCCAAATATGGAACAAACTACCTGAGGAAATGCGACTAGCAAGCTCACTAGTGTCCTTTGAAAAAGCTCTTAATGACACACTAAGTGGGTTTGTAAGTGATACCAGTGCTAATTCCCATGTAAGAGCTTCAGAAATTATAGGCCCATTTAATGTATGAACTTAGAGACTACACCTGTTGTTTCTTTTGCCTTTATCTATAATTTCAGACAAACAAGCAGCAGTCATGAAAATAACACTCATACAAATAAGAGTCGATCGAATTATGTCTACCTGATACAAAGCCTGAACCATAATCAACATATGAATGAAGTATGAGAAAACAAGGTCGAGACTTACCACAACATCACATGGAAGGATATAAGTTACTTGGACATTATTTATAATCCACCAACTGGTCTCCTTTCCAAAAGGAATGCGGCGATATTTTATCCATAGTTATGAGCAAATACATAAATCCACAGTTCCCGTTGTATACACTCAGTGGGGATTGCAGCCAACAAAGTAATGCATTTAAAGCATATGCACACTTCTCATAATCACGGCGACACCGCGGAATATATCAAAATCGCAGAGTAATCAAACCCAACACGCGATGTAATTAAGTAAATCCGAAAGGCAAACAAGTTGTATTCCGATTTTGAATATTCGTCCATATGTCGACCATGATGACAAATCCAAATCACAACCTATACAGCGTCAATAAATCTGGATATCTATGAAATGACGAAAATATGCTGATAGCTGCATCTCAGATACCAATGACTCATTCGATGGCAAAATTCTGCTCCTGCATGCCTCTTTCGACATTTTTGTATGGATTGGTTCGCAGTTACTCAGGTTCCAGACAGAAAAGAATAAAAATTCACAAGTTGCTGAATTATGATTACTTCTCTGCATGTTTAACTGGATACTAACTGCTGTAGTGAGCCGTTTGCAGTTTATATTGCTTAAAACATCGTTTACGGTAAACTGAGTAACGTTTTATAAGCCATTTTTATACTTTTGTGACTAGCCCACCATATCGACCGAATGTAACGCAACACTCAGTTGTTTCGCTCATGTTCAACAAATTCAAACAATAATAGTGCCTAGGATTATGCCATATAAACTGTTTTAACTTATGCAGAGTGTACTTACGGTCAATATTTCATTATCTTACCTTGTATATATATTTTGTGTTAGTGGAAAATTTTAAACATGTTTACTCCATGTGTGCATTATTACCATATTGTTGATGCTTGTCAACTGGAGTCCCTCATGTGCATAAAGTGGGAATATATTATTGTAAGACGCATTTTATTGTTTTATGAGGGAATTGACTTCAAGCTTTATTTATTTTCCCAAGTGTATGTAATCCATCCAACGCATACTTGGGTTTTTTTTTGTTAATGCGAAGTCAATATCTCTATATTTGTTGGTGTGTTCCATTGAATCACCAGTTATCCGATTTTCCCCACAAACTAAAGATAAAATGACAGCAACCATGTTATTTAACCGTAAATCATGTAATTTAAATATGTAACTTAAATAATTCTTATCCATTCCTATAGAACTTGTTTTTCCTATATTTGTATGAACAAATATGTACCTTATTATATTATCATTACTAACTATATTTACTAATCGTATGTGTAATTTATCGAAGTGATGATGCCTGTAAACTGGTGTCCCTCATGTAAAAAATGAGAATATACTATTATTATTATTATTATTATGCGTATGCTACTATACATGAATGAACAGTAATCAAATAAGGGACGCACACAAACCTTGTACAACAGAATTATAGACTCATTTCTGTAGAAGTTCCTGAGTAGAAAGCCGATAAGTCTGCGTGACTTTGACACTTGTTTGGAGATATTTTCAGAAAATGATAAGTTATGTGAATATTTCAGTCCTAGGTCCAGTACAGATTCCAGTCGTTCAAGTGCATGGTCTTGAATTGTCAGGTCAAGTTCTAAATTGTTGCAACCTATGCAGAGCCAGCCACATTTTTCGACATTAAATTGGAGTTGCCAGGTGTCATACCATCTATCCATTTTTTCTAATTCTTGTTGTATGGCGTTTACTGTTATTCCAAGATCTGTGTTCTTGCATTTACACGTCACTTTTAAGTCATCTGCATATAGCATTGGTTTACCTACACTAAAGCATTCACAGATACTGTTTATATATATTATGAATAAGAGTGGGCCTAATACACTTCCCTGGATTACACCACTACTTACTGGTTTAGGCCTTGGGATTATCGAGCCAACTTTCGTTGTCTGACTTCGGCCACAGAGAAATGATTTTCCAATGGTTCTCTAACTAATGTCAGCTCATGATGAAAATCCTGTAACCAATCAAATCCCTACAAACCAACACTTGAATATCAATGAGATGCTCACTAGTGACTTGCCCTATTCAGGTAGGTAGTTGCCTGGGGTTCTAGTGAGAAGTCGTGACCAGTAGGGTGCAGCAGGTCGGGCGTGAGGACAAATACTCGCCGAAGACTTTGACTAGGGGTCGCGCTATGTCGTGAATTGGCAGAAGTTAGAATTCATGGGCTGGCCATTGGATCGGGTCCCAGCGGCTTAGTGGTCTACGAGTTAGCTCGCCTTATAACCAGAAGGTCCTGGGTTCGAATCCCGGAGGGTGTGTACTGCTGAAGAGTCCCAAACTAGGACGAAACAGCTGTCCAGTACTCCCAGGTTTTCCAATGGTTCTCTAACTAATGTCAGCTCATGATGAAAATCCTGTAACAAATCAAATCCCTACAAACCAACGCTTAAATATAAATGATTTTATCCAGCTCAGGAGAGGGTCACATATCCCGAGTGTGCATAACCTGCTGACTAGCAGATTATGGGGAACTCGGTCGAAGGCTTTTGTTATATCGAAATATAGCACAATTACTAGTTCTCTGTTGTCCCTACTTCGTGTAACTTCATTGAAAAAGTCTATGTGACAGGTCACACATGATCTTTCTTTAAGAAATCCGTGTTGTGATGGATTGATAAGTTCATTTTCTAGTAAGTTGTCTGACACTCAGTCTTTAGCCACTTTCTCCATTATTCGGGATATTACCGGTGTTATACTGATAGGTCGATAGTTGCATACACTGGTTTTGGTCCCTGCTTTGTGCTTAGGTAATACATATGTGGTTTTCCACACTTCAGGATAAGTTCCAGTTTCCAACGAGAGAGTAAATATTCTAAGTAACGAGACTACCATTTCCGTGCTACCATTTTTGTATATGACAGATGGCATATCGTCTGTTCCAGTACTATCATTAGACTTCAAAGTCTTAATCACTGAGTCTATATTTTGTATATTAAAGTCTATTTCGCCTAATTTGTGGTTACTTTTGCAGGTCATTTGGAAATTTTGGGTCGGGTGCACTCTGGCGTCATTGCAAAACCACTCATTGAGGAGTTCACTTATAACCTGGGGATCATTGTATATTATACCCTTATGTTCCAAGCTGCTTACAGTATTGTCTTTACTGCTTTTTAGACGTTTCTGCAATATCCTACAAAGTTCCTGAGTTTTTGAGTTACCCACAAGCGCTTTATTTTCTTCAAGTTGTGACGTCATTTTGTGTTTCTCTTCAAGCCGTCTAAGAGTTTCATGTATTTGGTTTAACGCATTAAATTCCTTAAATACATGGTATTTCCTTTTCAATTTCTTTAGTTTTAGTCGCGTTTTGAGGTCTATAAATGGAGTTGGTGTCTTTAGCGCAGATTTTAGGGGCGCGATTGTGTCTCTTGCTGAGCCAATTGTTTTGTAGAAAATATCAAGTGATACTTCTAAGTTATTGTTGATGAAGTATTCTTCCCAGTCAGAACTTCTCAACAGATCTGGTAGGAATTCCCAATCGGCATTCTTATAGTCCCTATATTGATAGTGCACCGGGGAATTTTTAGGTGTGTGTTTAGTTGTTAGTCGGAGGGGTAGCGTGCAGTACAATATGTTGTGATCACTGTTATCAAGTTTATTTCCTACCTCTATCGAGATGGGCTCTATTTCATGACAAAGGATTAAGTCAAGAGTGTTTTCATTTCTTGTAGGGAGGCGTATGCACTGCTTCCATCCACCTACGTCTATAGCTTGTAGTAGCTCGTCATGGATTCTAGGTCCTGTACAGGTATCCCAGTTTACTCCAGGTAAGTTGAAATCGCCACAGACTACTTTGTAGTCAAAGTCCAGCGTAGCTACATGCTCTAGTATTTCTCCAATAGCTATATCAGTCATTTCAGAGCTATTAGGGGGTCTGCATATACATCCCACGAGAATTTTATTTTCGTTTGTGTGGATGCTTACCCACTTGGATTCAGGGAGTTTGTCAGTAGTTGGGTTATTGGAAGTGTTGGAGTTAGTGGATTTAGAGGCATATATTAAGCAGCCGCCTCCTCTTTTGCCAACTCTATCGTTCCTATAGATGTCGCAGTTGTCTATTACTAGCTTTGAGTCAGGTATATCAGTAGTAAGCCAGGTTTCAGTCACCATTATTAGTGTTGGCCGTTCTATGTATGCCAGGCAGCGAAGCGATGTTATTTTATTAAGGAGAGATCTAGTATTCAGGAGCATAATAGTTAGTAAACCAGAGTTATTGGAGGAGAGGTTAACATGGTTACTTGTTACTATCCCTACGATATGTTTGGAGGGGCTGTGAGGTGAGACAGAGTCAGTGCGTGTACTATTTCTTGGATGAATTGTGCAGCGAGTGGGGCTATTGTTTGCTGCATACGAAAATAATCCTGTTGACATCTCAAAGGCATTTGACCGTGTCGACCATTTACTACTAATGCACAAGCTGAAATCCTTAGGAATACGTGACCCCCTATTAGGATGGCTTAAATCATTCCTTAACCATAGGTCCCAAATAGTTAAACTCGGGTCTGTAACTTCGAAACCTAGCCCAGTCACCTCTGGTGTAGTACAAGGTAGTGTCATTGGACCCCTTCTATTTACCCTATATATTAACGACACATGCGCTTGCTTCTCTCATGGGAAACCATTCATCTTTGCAGATGACCTCAAAGTAGCTTATACATTCCAATCTGATGACCTAGGGTACTTCCAGAATGTTGTACAAAAAGAACTGGATAAAGTGACTGCTTGGTCGTCTTTATGGAACCTCCAATTTAACCTTAAAAAGTGTGGCTGGATCTGCTTCGGTGCACCCTCAGTCGACATGAAGTTAACGCTTCAATCGGCTAACCTAACCAAACTCCAAAGTGTCGTTGACCTAGGTCTGAGGTACTCGAGTAACCTAACATTCTCTGAGCAAGTGGCATCACAGACTCAAAAGTCGAGGATGCTCTTAGGATGCATACTCAGGAACTTTCACGACAATGAAGCAAAGCTCATTCTGTACGAAACCTGTGTGAGGCCACTACTAGAATACTGTCCATTTATTATTAGCAGCACTGAGACACGTGAAAAGCTAAGAGTAGAAAGTATCCGACGATATTTTACCTCGAAACTACTTGGCTACGAATGTAAGAAAGACTACATCTCACGGTGCATGATTCTACAACTTGACCCACTCTGGACAAGACGACTAATTATAAACCTAGTATTCTTCTATAAGGTCCTACACAAAATATCATTCTCAGACATTAAGGACATACAATTCGCGCAAGAAGGCTCTTACGATCTGCGTAACCAAAATTGCACAGTGACAATAAAGGCCTTTAAGTCAACACTCCGCGAAAACTTCTTCACAGTCATGTATTCTAAAATATGGAACAATCTGCCCCTAGATGTCAGGAACTGCAATACAGTTTTAAGTTTCAAACGCCCTCTGTACACACTATTTCACTCTACCGACTATATAAATAAACTATTTATTCCTAGAACGAATCAACTATTAGTCTACTACAGTACTTAAACGCGCTTAAATACCCTTACTTCTCTAAAGACCATAAATAAACTAGTAGCATAAATGCATAAAAAGACTTAGTAGAAACAAATTTTTGTTCATCAAATTACAATGTCTAACGAAGATAAACAAATATTTCCCAATCTACATACTGTTTCTCTTCCCTCTGGTACATTTCTGTTGTATTTGCCTTGTAGTACAAGTTGAATTGATCTACATTCCGACTGAAGCTGAGAAACAATTGAAGTCACTTACTCATATATTATCCCTCAAGGTTTGGCTAGTAATGGCTCAGCATCCTTGATGAATCCACTGTCACCATAACTAGACGCTGTACAGCATCTTATACAAGCACTGTCAACGATCTAAAATTGCTTTTATATGGCTTTCTACGTGTTAATCAACTTAGTTTACGGGGCAACCATGCAGTGACAAATGGCGGCCTCTGGCTGACTTCGGTGCAGTAAAACAAATCTGCTTGACAATGACCAATATTAATCTGCACTCAGTTGAATTCACATCTGGTGTTACTTGCAAAAAATGATGTCAAAATCATACAAATCAATTACTCATTTTAAATTAATATCCAATTTGAGCATAAAACAAGAACAAGATACGATGCCGCACACAGCAAAGTTATATGGAGGAATTTACTTCAAGCTTTATTTTTTCCCAAATATTTGTAATTTATCCGACACATACTTGGGTTTTTTTGTTAATGCGAAGACAATATTTCTATATTTCTTTATGTGCTCCATTGAACGACTAACTATCAGAATGTGCTCACTAACTGATGTCAGAGGAGAGCAACCATGTAATTTCACTATAAATCAAATTCATGTAATTTAAATAATACTTATCCATGCCTGTACAACTGGTGTGTCCTACATTGATAGGAAAATATATTATATTATGTTTTGACTGTTAGCATCCATGGGTGGGCATCTGCGTTCATTTACTAGTGATATATAGTTTGCTTGACCTAGGTACCCTGTGTTAAGATTACCTTGATAGTTGTACCTCATGGGTCTTTCATAGTCGTATGCATATTGTCTCACATCACATATGTGAGTGAAGTTATTGAGAGAGTAAAGTGTCGATCTATACTCATTATGCTGTTGAAGTTTAACATAGATAGTGTGAGAGTTTGGACGAGAATATGCATGAATATGCTGCCTATATGAGTCCCGTTTAGTGCTCCATTAATCCTGAGGATCCATTCTACGTTGCATTCCCAAGTTATGTGCGTTGCTAGGCATATTACTCCTAGTTCGGGATGGGGTATTCTTACTCACATGACGGGCTGAGGGCTGGGCCCTGTGTGGTGATGCCGTTGACAGAGAGGTTTGTGGCTGAATCTCTTCACTTTCGATTACCAGTATCTACCAGTAATTGATAGTGCTGTAACAGATCCATACCAATTACACCTGTGGTCACGTCTGCCACCAGGAAGACCCAGGGGAATGAGCGGCGCAAGCCAATATTAAGGCCTATAAAACGCCTGCCAAACGAAGCGATTGGTGAACCATTTGCGGCACATAGTTGTAAAGACATTGGCGCTCCTCTACGGTGGGTGGGATTAGGCTGACCTCCGCTCCGATAACAACCAGGAAGCTTATCCCAGTCTTACGGTCTGTAACATAGAAAAGGAGGCATGTAGTGGTTCAACATCGACGTTAGTCGCCATCACGTTCTGGCTCACAAGTTTCCGGCTTGAGAGTAGCTGAGCGTACAGGGTGTGGTGCATTTTCGAGCTTTTGCACCATAGCGTTTATCGTACCGACAGACACCTTGGTGAGAGTCTTCTGCGGAAGAGCTGGCTCGCCTGCGCGAATAAGATTTACTTCACGAACGAAACGCGCTGTTTCGCGAGCGACTCCTTGACTTTAGTTCTCGTCTAAGCTTACAGTTTTCCTGGTACATTTGTCGTGTATGAAAACCATGGAAATCATTTGGGGTGTGATCCTCTTGACAGGGGACATTTAATGGCAGGACTGCAGTGATAGATGTGGACGGCTTCGTAGCCTCTACGGCTCTATCAGCTGCCTCAGCTAGTTTGGTTATTGACGAACTATAAAAGGGTGCAATTATACCTTGCACCGGCTGTGGAATTCGCTGAAGCCACAATTGTTTAATGAAGGTTTCATCAATCTTAAAGTCAGTCACCACCTGTTTCATTTGGTGGAGTAGTTGCGAAGGTGAAGGGTCCCCCAACTGCACCCCTCGTAAAGGCTCCTGTACCTTCTGTTGATCTGTCAGGGCTACGCGCTTAATCAGAGCAGCTTAAAGGCAATCATACAGGTTTGGGGCAGGGTCGTCCAGGACATCGGCAACGTCTTCCATTACGTTTTCTGAAAGGCTGACCATGACCAGGTTAGCTTTGTTCTCCTGAGCCTGAATGTGTCGAGAGCTAACTGGGCTTCGATGTGTGTTAACCACGCTGCAGGGCGATTCGCCCAGAAGGCAGGTAGTTGAAGGGTAACCGCCATTTCAGCAGGAGAACTGTCGTCAGCCAAGTCAGGGTAAGTTGTTGGTAAGATAAGGATACAAACCATATAAAAAATAACACCAATACAAAGGTAATGGTAAATCTGGACGAGATAACAGAAAAAGTATATATATAACGATACACCAAGTGATGAAAAACAAGTGAACAAAAAACTTAGGACCCAAATGCTGTAGAGAAGTCTGTGTAGGGCTCACCAATTGTAAGTGCGTGACTTTATCCTGAGGTGAGTTTGCCTGTCACACCAAAATGACCAACTTCTTTTACCTAGGTCGTAATCAGTACTCTGCCTATCTTGTGAGTACCGAGGAACGAGTGAAAAGCAGAAATAAAGAGGATTCGCAACGTGCCTGTAACCACAAGTATATTTATAATAGTAAAAACATCAATTTATGTTTCGTATAAACGGGTAAATTTACAAGAAATGCATGTCATTTTTACAGGCACGATCAGTAATTCCATATTAGTTTGTTTATTGGATGCATCACACGGTGAAACAGTATTATTTACTGGGTGACGTTTCGAACAAAATTTATTGTTCATGATCATATCAACTGATATGATATGATTGTGAAACCTTCGGATTCAAATCACAGTATCGTAAATCTGAACTTGTGGGAATCAAAGAAAGAAGATCCAGCTGCCCAACATGCTGATGATTTCGAGGTGGTTAGCTCCATCAACCGTGAAGTACTTCGGGAAATGGAGTCATGGGAATCTATGTGATGCATCTAATAAACAAACTGATATGGAATTACTTACTACCACAGTGTCCAAGCTTTACACATATATTAAAACGATCAGTAATGTTATAAATTACAATTCTGAAGTATCATAATTAGTACTTCTTCAAAGTTTAAATTGTTCAATTATTATACAAGTAATCAGAACAGGTTCTTATAAATGTTAAATTGTAAACCGTTTACTAAGGTCACCATCAAAGTTGAGCGACAACCCAAACTTCGTTCCGCCTCCCGCTGATCGTTATGGTCAGCCAGTGAACAGCGTATATCTGGGTGAGTGCTATGCTGCCACGTGATTGAACGCTATTCCAGGAAGAGAAGAAAATCCTGCGCAGCTGCAAAATGGTTCAAAGTGCAATTATCAATAGTGCGTTATTGGAAGTATATTTACAAGATGGATACAAGAGGAAGAAGCTATATGGTACATGAAATGTTAGTATACATTTGCAATGTTCAAAGCCAACCATTTAGGTTTAGGCATGGAAAC